CCAATCCATCTGCCATCTAGAACCCAAAGCAATTTTTCTAAAACTGAAATCTGGACATGTTACTACTATGCTTAAAATACTTCAATGTCTCCCCCACACTTTCAGATTCGCTAAAAATTTTTTGGCAGGGCCATTCAAATCTGGCCTCTGTTCAACTCTCCACACTGCATCCCAACAGACCTCATCCTCCTAATATCCATCTCCTGAACTTGCCCAGTCCTCCCACACCTATGACCAGTCCTGGAAGGCCCTTGACCGACTCTCCCCTTCCCAGCCCAGATTAGGGATCACTTTGGCCAGGAAGCAATTCTGGATATACCAGGCTCAGTTACGGGCCCCTTCGCTGTTTAACCTGTGCACCCATGCAACCCAGCACCATCTACATGGAATCATCATCAATGTTCTGTCAGTCTCCACAAGACTACAGGCATCTAAACACAGGCCCATCACCCAGTACAGGCCCCACACTCTATAAACCATTAATAAAAATTGTTGTAAGGGAATGCTTAAATGAAAGAAATTTCAGTCCAAAAGAGATTAGAAGCACAGAATCATGGAAACCTAGAGCTGAAAGGAGGCAAATGCCATCAATCTCTTCATTTTACAGATGAACACAGGGACCCAAAAGAACAATTAACTGTGGAGCCTGGACTAGCCACTGCGCCTGCACCCTGGGGCTCTCACCACACCCAACCCCAGCCCCACGACCAAGACCCACTCCAGGCTCCATCTTGCCCAAAGGAGGCCACCGCTCTACATCCTCCCATGTAGATGTCCTCTATATCCTTTACAGAGGGAGAAGCCCCTCACCCCCCAACCCCCACTCAGACCCTGGCTGCTGTGCCCGTATCCCTGGGACCGAGGTCTCAGGAACAGACACGCACCCACTTCAGCTCCTGCAGTGCTTCCCTCTCACTGCCTCCACCTCCAAGCCTGAACCCCACTCTTAAAATACACATTTATTGAGCACCTACTACGTGTCACTCTGCAGCGGGCACTGGGGTTCCTGCCCCGCCAGAAGCTGGTCTATCTGGTAGGCGGACACAGGCGGGGAACTCAGAACAACGGGACAGCCCGGGAGGGGCCGTGCGCGGGCGACCCTCCGCTGGCCACTGCATCTTCCCCCGCCCTCACTGGCCTCCCGCTGACCTCGCTGCCCAGACCTGCGGCCCTCCCCCGCCGGCCGGGTCCCTTTCTCCTGGATGGGGGGGATGGGGAGGCTCGGGGCCCCCGAGGCCCCCGCCTCATCCCTCGGCTCCAGCCCGGGTCGGTGGAGGCAGCGTGGGAGGAGCGGGGCCGGGCTCTGGGCCATCCCTCGCACCGCCCCTCCCCGCCCGAAATGCAGTGGGACTCGGAGGGAGGGGGCCGGGGAAATAAATACCTTTGACTTTGTGGCTAAGGTTAACGGGAACTGCCACCCCAGGGGCGACTTGGGCACCGGGCTCCGGGCCCTGGCCAGTCCCGGGGCAGGCGGGGCGGGAGCGCGCTTCTGATTGGCTGGAGGTCCTGGCCGTCCCCCAGACCGCCCAGCTACCCCATTGGCTGCGCCGCTCAGATGACCCTCCCGGCCCTATCGGAGCAGCCCGCGGGGCGGCCCCTTTGTTCTCCAGAGCCAATAGCCTGGGTGGGCGGGCTGACCTTGCCCCCGCGGGCGCACAGGGCCTGGCCGCCCGGCGGAGGGTGCGGGGCTGCGTGGGGGAGGCAGAACGTGGCTGGGACGCTGGTGACCTGCAGACTTGTGGCACCCCCGCCCGCCGGGGCCCCTTCCAGACTGGAGCTCACAGCCTGTGCACGTCCCCCTTCCCGCTCACGCACGTTCCGGTTCCATCGGTGGCTTAGCAAACATTGGCCGAACGCCCCCAGCGCGCCCGGGAACCGGCCTCCCTGCGAGGAGTCCGTCGGGGCCGAGATGGAAATGCCCGCTCCGCACCTCCCCCGAGCGCAAGTCCAGTGTGGTGGCAGTGCTGTGTCTTTGCTCCCTGGAGGGTGCTGCTGCTCACAGCTGCGCACGTCTGGTGCCGAGGGAAGGGGGTCTCCCGCGTGCGGGAGTGTGGGGTGTGGCAAATGGTTCTTAGGGTTGTCCACGAGACACCTCAGAAATCATGACATTCAACCCTTTCGTTTTCGAGCTGAGGAAGCAGGTCCCGAGGAGGTTCATTACTAGGTAGGGCTCGCAAGAGTGGAATCCTCTCCGCGCAGCTGCCAACGTGGCCCAGGTGGGCGAGGGTCTTCCGTCCCGAGACCTCCTGGAAGGAGTATTTTTTCATCTACCCACCCCGATTGTAAGGAAATTCCTCACACTTCTACCTCCATGGGGCACAGCGGAGTAGACTCCCACTGGCAGGACTCTCTGCACAGCTGCTTAGAAGCTGCCTTATTGACACAAACAGGAGCGGGGCCTCTCTGAGACTCCTACAAACTGTCGCTGTTACGCAAGTGGACCTTATTTTACCTCATTGGTCACCAGCTGGTTGAGCATTTCCCATAGGCCCAGCTGCTGTTTAACCTCAGGAGCACAGTAGGAATTGGGGGCCGAGTCTATATGTTTTGCCACCAACTTCGTGTGCAGTTTTTACAAAAGATTCTTTTCTGTCCTTGGAATTTGATGTATTCATCTGTGAAATAGAGTTAATTTTCTAGTTGCCTACATACCTTACTGGGGTTTACAGTTACATTTGGTTGTATTGTCTACAGAAGCATTGGTGAGGTATGAAAGAGGCCACACGTCTAGCCATCAACACTTTGGAGTCTCATTCGCCTCTTTATTTTCTAGAGTACCCAGGCTCCACAAAGGCTTGTTTCTGAGATCAGTATTCTAGTTCCAGATCTGCCACGCAAGCGTGACCCCGGGAAAGTCACTTCCACTTTCTGGGCCTGTTTCCTCCTCTACACAGTGAGACTTCTGCCAGATTGACATTCCATGACCAGGATATGTCAGAGGGGGAAAGAATGAGGCACATCTGGGATCCCATTTCCATTAAGCAAAAAAAATGGGGAAGCTGCATATGTATGTTTGCAAATGCATAGAAAAAATGTCTAGAATACCCCTCAAACCCTTTTCACTGTGTAAAGAGAAAGGACTTGGGAGCTGGAGTAGGTGTATGAAGGACTTTCATGTTAAAAAAATCTAAATAAGTCTGAATTCTTTAATTTTTTAAAAGATACTTTAATACTTTTTTAATTGTAGAAGAAAAAAAGAAAAACTGTGGATTCTTCAGAGAAAAGGGCAACTCTTGCCAGCAGAGCTGCAGCCCCTCCAACCCGGCAGCCCTTCCCTCCCCATGACTGCTGTCAGGATGAACCAGGATGAGCAAGAACTTGGGAACCACTGCCCCCGCCCCCCACATCCCAAGGGACTCAGGAGGGAACTGTGGGCAAATCCACTCTGTCCCTGCCTCACCAGCCCCCTCAAGGCCACTAGTGTGGCCTTCTCTGGCCTTCGGACCTCTCCTCACCATCCCTCCCCACAGGCAGTGGGCAGGTAGCACTGAGGACCAGTGCCCGTCTTCCCCATACCCCAGTCTACTTCCTTTAAAAATGATGATTTTTTCAAAAGGTCGGGACCCCTGGTCAGATCCCCCTCTCCCTCATGCTTGTCCCCAACCCCTTAATACTAACGACATGCCCAAGGACCTATCCCCTGCTCCTGCCTATCATCCCCAGATATCTACCCATTCTTTCCTAGTCATCTCTCCTTCCCTGGAATCCCTGAGCTTCCTCAAAGAGAACAAATATGAGTGGGGCTTTCTTGAAACCACACCCTCTACTCCCCGGCTCTGACTGGCAATTTGCCATGAATGACATGGGTTTTTAAGTGGCCCCATAACCCCATAAACCAATATGAAGCTTTGAAGCTGTTGTCATCCATCCTACACACTGCAAGCCCAACCACCTCTCCCTACTCATACTCGTGTACCTATGTACATCCCACCCAGCCCCACGCCTCATGGGGTACGGATTGAGTCTTGTCTTTGTAACCCCTCAGTTTCCATCATAACATCAAGCACACAGTAGGCATTTAATACTTACATTAACCACAAACAGCAGCACACTCCATTCATCCAGTAAGACAGGCCTTAGGGGATGGACAGACCTGGACTTGAATCTGCCTCTGGTGATGACCAGTCTTATGATCATGGGCAAATGCTTTCATCTATAAAAGGGGAATAAGAGCACCTGCCACACAAGGGTGCATGAGATGACTTAGGGAAACTTCTTTGCAAGGTGCCACTCATGTAAACAAATGGTGGTCATTCTCATGCAGCAGACTCCATGCTAGATGCTGGGGATCTGCGCAGAAATTACTAAGACAACGTGCAAAGAGTCTGCTGATGCCTGACAAAAACAGGCACTCAAATTTGTATGAAATGACCGGTGCAGGGACATGTGCACTGACTGCTGGCAGAGATCTGGGGGCCTGCAGCAGGCCAGCCAGGGAGGTGCTGAAGAACAAAACCAAATCAGTCCTTTCCTTCCTGGTAATGGCACTAAAAAGTCTGACCTGACTCCAAGAAGGCTAAACCCCTGACCCTGGTGTGTGGGATGAGGGAGATGAGAGCTGTCCTTGCTGCTCCCAGCTGCCTCCCCTCCCAGAGACTCCTTTGTGCTGTCAGGCCTCCATGGGGGCTGCCAGAGGGAGGGTCCAGGTCTAGCCAAAGTCTGTAGCATCCACCACCCCTCAAAAGGAGCCTCTCAGTGCTTGCTGGGGTTACAAGGCCAAGGTGATGAGAAAGACAATGGCAGCCCTGGATCCACCATGGCCAGGAACTGAGATCTCCAGTCCCCCCCACCACAGTTCTCTGGAGCCTTCGCCTACCACACAGAGCATCAGCCCGGCTGCTGGGGTGTGCTCGGGGAAGAACTGGAGGCCGGGCGTGGAGCAGCTCAGCAAGTCAGGCACTGGGCCGGTTGTCAAAGCCCCACCCACGCCCCTATTCCTTCTTTGGAAAACCCCACAGCCCCCACCCCCGCCCCCCAGAAGAAAGGAACACTCCCCAGACACCAGCTCTAAAACCAAATCTTTATTTTCTAGTTTGAAAAGGAGGGTAAATGGTTGTTCTGTTTAGTTCCACAGAACAGCACAAGGCCCAATAGATAGAAATTATAGGAAAGCAGAATTGATTTATTATAAGGAAGAATTTCTAACAATTAGAATCATCCTACGATAGGACCAGGGCCTCAGGAGGTGGGGAACTCCCTGTCACCTAAGTGCTCAAGCAGAGGCTGGACATCCATATGCTAGAAATGTTGGAAAGGAAACTCACCCAGCACCTTCCCTTCAGCTGACCCTCCGTCACCAATGGGGCCGTCCTTTCCACAACATGTTGAGCTTTGGAAGGAGTGAAGGAGGGCTGGGGTGTTCGAACGAAAGCCTGGACACAGAGCTGCTGACAGCCAGGGGAAGCTCTAAGCACTTGGCAGGGGGCAGGGGTAGATAAAGCAAGACAGACCAAGGAGGAAATGCCGTGGGGGTTTGATCTCTGGGGAGGAAGAGGACGGCATCACCAACAGTAGATGGGTCTCCAGGTCTGTCTGGGTGGCTGTGCAGGGGCAGGAAGGAGGGGCGGGGGCAGGAGGTAAGAGCAGCTCAGCTTCATCTCTTGATGCTGGAAAAGGCCTAAGTGCTGTCTAACAAGGCCAGCAGGTTCTCCAAGATGTATCCAGCTGTTCCACTTTTCCTCCCCAGGCATTTATTTACTAAGGACTGTACCACACCTACTTCCAAAAATTATCTGAAGTAACTCATAGTAAAAGACAGGGACATTAAGGCGTTAACACCAGAGGATGGGGGCCTTCCCTCCCACTGGTGGCTCCTCTAGCCAGAGGGCTCTAAGGGGTAGATGGAGTTGCTATTGCTACTTTTCCAGGGCACGGGACAGTCAGGAACCCTGGCAAACACCAACTGCAGGTGGGCGTCCTTGAGCTCTGAAGTGGGTTCCCTGGCCACCCGGGGTTGACATTCCTGGCCCACAGGATCCAGCTCACTTCTGGCCTCTTCTGTCCCCTCTGGATTCCAGTCTCCCCTACCCCAGCAACAGGCAGGCATCCCCACCCAGCCCACAGCGAGGCCCCAGCCCCGCCCGCCTCACACATCGTGCTTCTTCTGGTGGGCCAGGAGCCTCTCCTCGTCATCAAAGGTCTGGCCACAGATGGCACAGCAGAAAGCGCCGTCCCGGATGTGGCTTTTGCGGTGGGTGATGAGGTTGGACTTCTGGCTGAAGCTGCGGTCGCAGTCGGGGCAGGCGTAGGGCCGCTCGCCCGTGTGGATGCGCCGGTGGGACACCAGGTTAGACTTCTGGCTGAAGGCTTTGCCGCAGTCGGGGCAGACGTAGGGCTTCTCGCCGGTGTGGATGCGCCGGTGGGCGGCCAGGTAGGGCTTGTGGCGGAAAGCCTTGCCGCAGTCGGGGCAGACGAAGGGGCGCTCGGGCGCGTGGTCGCGCCGGTGTGCCGCCAGGTGGCTGCCCTGGGAGAAGCGGCGCCCGCACTCCTCGCAGGCGAAGGGGCGCTCGCCAGAGTGCACCCGCGAGTGCGCCACCAGGTGGGTCTTCTTGCCGAAGTTCTTCCCGCACTCGGCGCACGTGAAGGGCCGCTCGCCCGTGTGCTGCCGCTGGTGGGCCCGCAGGAAGCGCTCGAGCCGGAAGCTCCTCCCGCAGTCGTCGCAGCTATAGAGGGCCGCCGGGGCTTCGGTCTGGTCCTGCGGGGGCTCTCGGGGGGCCTCCGGCGCGGGCTCCCGGGCAGGTCTCATTGGGGCCTCTGGAGTGGGCTCCGCCGCGGGCCCGGCTGGAAGCTGGGGGCTGCCCGGGCCGGGGGCGGCCTGGGCGGAGCCCTCGGATCGCTTGTGGATCTTGCTGTGTGACAGCAGGTTGGGTTTGTGCCGGAAGCGGCGGCCGCACTCCGTGCACGGGTAGGGCTTCTCGCCGGTGTGGATGCGCCGGTGCGAGGTCAGGTAGGGCTTGTTGGTGAAGCGCTTCCCGCATTCTGGGCACTGGTGCGGCCGCTCGCCCGTGTGCACGCGGCGGTGGGCGATCAAGTTGGGCTTGTGCCGGAAGCGCTTGCCACAGCAGGCACACTGGAAAGGGCGGTCAACCGCGTCTCCGCCGGGCCGGGGAGCGGTCACTGCGGGGCGGCCCCTGGGCCGGGGCCCCAGAGCTTTGGCTGCTGCCTCCTCCAGGGCCTCGGCTACGTGCACCCGCTTGTGAGCAACTAGCTGGTCCCACTGGGCAAAGCTCCGGCCACAGTTGCCACATATGAAGGGCCGGGCCTCAGGGACAGGGGGGTGGCACCGCCGCAGATGAGCCTGAAGCTGCTTGCGTCTCCAAAAGCGTCTCTCACATTTGGGACAAGCGATGGGCCTCTTTGCAGCCGAGTGGGCCCGCAGATGCAGAACGAGGGCCACCCAGCCTCGGAAGCTCTGCCCACAGAGGTGGCAGGCGAAGCCCAGGTCTGGCGTGGCAGCAGCATGGACCTGGCGATGCAGCGCTAAGAAGGGGGCATGGCGGAAGCGACGGCCACACTCAGGGCAGGGCAGGGGCAGCCGGGCCAGGCACCGGCGGGTATGAAGCCACAGGGCTACCCAGCCTGGGAAGTGCCTTCGACAGTGTGCACAGCGATGGGCCCTGCCAGGGGCCTGGCTGCCCGGCTGGGACACTGAAGTGCCTTGTTGCCTCAGCCTACGGGGCTCCTTCTCCAGGGTCTGGGGTGACTCCTGGGAGGGCCCAGAAAGGAGTCGGGGCTGGGCTGGGCCCATGGCCAGGGGGCCTCTGCAGCGGCGTTCCAGCATCGAGTCTTCCTCTGCTGAGGGTGGAAAAGCAGAGTCACTCTAGAGACCAACTCATCCTGCCCAGCTCCTCCCTTCCTGACCTCAGCCCCCCAGAGGAGCTTGCCATCTACAAGCTCCTAGAGCCCTTGACGTAAATGGAAATCAACTACTCTTTTATTTCCTTGGATGTTATATTTCAGTTTGGGTTTCTAGATATTTGTCTTACATCTTTATTATCCTGGAAACTTCCAAAAGGGAGGGACTCTGTCTGACACTTCCTGGAATCCGTCACGGCAGCTACCCCAGTGTCAGGCAGGTGGTAAACACTCCAGCGTTGGATGCACAAACATTCCTGCCCACAGGACTCACTAGACAACATGGTCACATCTCCCTGCAGGGCCTTATGCTTTTTCAAAGCACTTCCCTGTTGCCCTCCCCTTGTGTCTGCTATTTCGCATTGCCACATCTGAGCCTCACAGCAACTCTGTGAGGCTGGACGAGCAGACATTGAGCTCCCTGTTTGACAGATGAAGCAATTGTGAGGCATCAACAGGTGATGGAACTTGCCTGAGGTGACACAGTAAACCAAGGGCAGAACCAAGGCTAGGAGACAGGTCTTCTAAACTCCCAGGCCAGTGTTATTTCCTCTAAAACACCTGGGTTTGCAAAGATCTTACAGAAGGAAATTTCTGTAGCCTTTCATTCTTATCACACCACAGGGGAGGCACTTTCGGCCTCGTTAACCTCAGTCTCCCACCACTGTAAAAGCCTGGAGAACAAGTGAGAACAGCCTTTCTCAGGGAACAGCAGGGGAGCCCTGGGTGCTACTCCCAGCACAGTCTAATGCCAGGCCATCGCCTGTCCAGACTGTGCCCACACTCTGCCCGCCTGCCCTCTTCCACCCCCACACACACACGATTAGGACATCGCAGGAAGGAAAACTCTCCCTGAATCCAAGGAACACCCACAGCCTGCTGCCCTCAGGGCCTGATCCCTGGCTCTGCCTCCCTTGGGGTGCTGTGGATTATTGGGGCAAGAGAAGGGAGGAGAGAAGAGATTGTAATCTCTGTCCCCTGCCTGGTCCTGCCCCAGTCTTGCCAGCAGCTGCCTCATGTTCAGCTCTTCCACAACTTGGGGGAGCCCAGATTCCTGCAGGAGACCCTCCTACATGGAAAGGGGACTGGGGTGGTTGTTAGATTCCTCAAGGGCCTTCAGTGCCTGCTCACAAGCTCCACACACAATCCTCCTAAATTCCCTAGAGCCTCTCTCCTCCTGGGGCACACAGCCATGACTCATTACCAATGCTACACTGAGCACAGGGAAGACCCCCAGGATATGAGAAAGGGATCCTTCCCCTGCAGGCTCCTTTCCTTCCACCAGGATGGGGGGGCCTGTGTCGCTGGGGTTGTGGAGTGGTTTGGGAACACAGCAGAGCCCAGACTCTACCCTTGAGACTGCAGAGCTGGGAATGAGGCTTTTTCCAGCTCCTCCTGGGGATGTTCCTGGGGATACTTCTGCGGCTGCAGCGCCTGCTTCGGCCCACACTCCGGTAGCCCCCAGGTGTCAGAGAAAACTGCAGCAATAAAGACACCCCTACCCCCATGGCAGAGCTCAGACCTCTGACTGCAGAGAGGCCAGCCTTACCTGTGGGGAGGGGAGAGAAAACATGTGTGAGGCTCTGAGCTCCTCTAGGGCACTCATCTTTGTGTCCTCACCAGCCACATCCCCTCCCCCCACAGAGCCACAGCTCTAGCCGTAAGCCCCACACCCTGCCTGGCAGAGTGACCTTAATGGATATTGGATTAATAAATGAATGTGCCCGTTCACCAAGGAAGTACACTGCTGCCTTTGGGGTCACTTCCTCCCCTGGTAAGGTCACAGAACGAATTCTCCATTCTGTGGACAAGGTCTGGGTTTTTCCTGATGGCCAAGGGCCGGCCTATGGCAGTAACTCTGGAATCCCTGCTGGCTCCCTTCCCCCACCCTCCTCCCAACAGGAATTCCAGGCCTATTTCCCATGGGGCTGCGCAGGGCCAGCTACTGTGACCACGACTTGGATCAGAACCCCCTTCTGCATCTCAGATGGCCAAGAGTGGCTGAAACCGCACAGCCCCCTTTTGTATTAGTGCACGTCCTCCGTCCACGTTCACGGACACACGGGTCCTGCTCCTACGAGTGAGCCATTTCGGGTCCCACGCACGGCGCAGCTCGCTGAGCCTGTGCGCAGGTGCGCTCGCCGCCCCCCCAACCCGCCGCGGATCCAGCAGTGTCCCCCCAGCGCGCACACACACACACGGTCGCGCACACTCACGGTCACGCGCCCCGCAGGTGGAGCTGCCCCCTGCGGGCCCGCGCGCCCCCCGCGCCCCTGCCGGGCCGTACCTCTCCGGCGGCCTGTGCAGAGGCGCAGCGCCCGTCCATGGAGCCCGAAGGCCGGCCTCCGAGGCCCGCTCCCCGCCCCGCCGCGGCGACAGCGGCAGGTTCGAGTTCACAACTGCCAGGCCCGTCCCCAACCTCCCCCCCGCCGAGTTCCCAGCGCCACGTGACTACAGGAGCTGCCGAGGGTCAGTCGCCGGCTTGGGCGGCCGCGGCCTGAGGGCGGGGCGGGGCCGGACGCGGGGCACTCGCGGGGCCGGACTAGCGGGCCGAGTCAGCCCCGCAGCTGCCCCGCCCGAGTTGCCGGCCTCCGGGGGCCGACATCGTTGCCATGGCGACCACCAGCCCCGGTTTTCCGGGACGGGCCCGAGCTCAAGTTTCCCGACCCTTTGTCCCTGCAGAGGACGCGCGTCCCGGGCGACCGCGTGGTCGGCCTGTGGTCACTCGGTCTGGTCCGTCGTCACTGGCTTATGAAAGGCTCCGGTCCCGTCCGGAGACTTCAAAGGGGGCGCCGGCCGCCCCCGGGGCGTCGTGCCAGGGCCTTCCCCGGCCGTGCTCCCCGCGTAGCGGGCGCGCAGTGCGGACGCTCCCTAGCGCGCGGGCCGCAGACGGCAGCGGCGCCCTGGAAGTCCGCAGCTTCCGATTTCTTCCAAAGTGGGGAATGAAAAGGCCCGATCATGTGAACTTTGAAAAGTTCCTATTCCTCTGTTCCAGAAATTGAGAAAGAGCAGGCGTTGCCGGGCTTCCTGCGGCAGCCGGGAGGGCGCGGGGCTACGGCCCGGGTGGCCGTTGGCGCACGTGGGGCATTTCGCTTGGAAGCGCAGCAGCCAGTGTGGCGTCTGCGGTGGCAGGTGCGAGCCTGTGCCCATGACTCACCCACTAGCAGGTGGCCTTGGCTTTCCAAACGAAACACTTCCCTAGGGTTTCCAGGCTAGTACAATTTCATGTACTCATGCCTTTCAACAAAAGCAATTTTTGAATCGTACCATTAGTTTAAAACATTTTGAGAGGGAGCAGGGACCCTTCTTAAGGGCTTGCTGGGCTCTCCCCATCCCCAAGCATGGAAATAAAAATTTGAGTTCTTTCAAGGGAGATTCCAGGCACCTAGCTAGCCCTGCAACCAGCAATTAGGGAAGTGAACGAATAACCCGCTAAGCAAGGAGATAATAGTAATTTAACAATAGTCACTGAAGTAAGTCAGAGTCACAAAATAATTGGTTCCCTATAGAAGCTAAAGATGACATCTTGATATATGTCCCTGAGTTGTTTTTCAGAAATCAGGACCCCCACCAGATGGGAAATGCCAACTGCTATCATGTAGACCTCAGACAGACTTGGAACCAGAAAATGAATAAGGAAGTTCCAGAAAGTCCCCAGCCCTTAACTCGCTTTTGAGGGCCCCCACTCCTGCTTTTAAAACCCTTGCCTGTAAGCCAACAGGGAGTTCGGGTCTTAAGCATCAGCTGCCTGTTCTCCTTATTAGGCGCCCTACGATAAACAAAATACTTTCTCTCCCTGCAAATCCTGCAGTCAGAGTTTGGCTTTGCTGCACAGCGAGGACCTAAGTTAGGTTTGGTAGCACTTTTAAGTTTGTTGTATAAATAGGAAATAGGGGAACATAAAAATCTCTCATGTTTTACCTCCTAGAGTCAATTACGTTTAATATTTTGGTATGTATCCTCTGGTTCTTTTTCCCAATGTATATTCATTCCGTGTTTGGCATAATGCTTTGCAAAGATGTATTCTGCCTTCTTCACTTAACACAATATTGTGAATTTTCTCTCATTTTATTAGGTATTCCTTTATAACATGATTCTTCATGGCTGCATAAATGTACAAGTAGATTGTTTATAGATTTTCCATATATTTAGAAATTGATCTTTTATTGCACATACCTGATTTAAAAATTCTAGAGGTTGGGAACTGATGGGTCAAAGGCAAAGTGTATTTGTAAAATGTCTTCTAAATTATCTTCCAGAAAGATTTATTAGTTTTTCCTGAGAAGTGCCCAGTTTTCCATATCCTTGACAACACAGGTCTTTTTTTTCAAATTTAATTTAAAATGGTAATTTCTCATTGTTTTGGTTTGTATTTCTTAGATTACTAAAGCTGGACTGTTTACTCACATGGTTCTTTATTGCCAGTTTGTATTTTCCTTTTTGTGAATTCATGTCCCTTTGCCCACTTTCCTATTTGCCCATTTTAAAAGTTGAGAAGTTGGTTTTATTGTTGGGAGCACTCATAAAGTGAAGGTATTAACTACTTGCCATGTGTGTTGCAAACATTTTCCTCCATTTGTATTTTAACTTTTTAATTTTTGATGCAAGAAAGGTTTTTTATGTGCCAAAGCCTATCAGTCTTCCTTTATGGTTTCTGCCTTTAGAGTTATGTTTAGAGAGGCCACCCCCACCCCCTAATAACATTTAATGTTTGTAGTTTTATCACAGAACATAACTTTTAATACCTAGTGTTATAGTTTAAGTACTTTCCCTACACACAGATTCCATTTTTTTGTTGTTGTTCTTCAAAACTTCCTGGCCATTCTTCCAAATGAACTTTAGAATTTCTTTCAGTATTTAAAAAACCCTATTGGCACTTAGAGAGATTTAAGATTCCTGCTTCTCCATTTATTCAGGTCTTATTTTACCTATCAAAGTCAAGCTGTCTATTTGTACATTAAATATTTAACTTTTATATTCTTCATGAAATCCACGAAAATGAAAAATATCTTTGTCAGATCATTTAGTTCGCCTAGCTCTCTGGGAGGCCGAGGCGGGCGGATTGTTTGAGCTCAGGAGTTCGAAACCAGCCTGAGCAAGAGCGAGACCCCGTCTCTACTAAAAATAGAAAGAAATTAATTGGACAACTAAAAATATGTAGAAAAAACTAGCCGGGCATGGTGGCGCATGCCTGTAGTCCCAGCTACTCGGGAGGCTGAGGCAGGAGGATCACTTGAGCCCAGGAGTTTGAGGTTGCTGTGAGCTAAGATGACGCCATGGCACTCTAGCCCAGGCAACACAGTGAGACTCTGTCTCAAAAAAAAAAAAAAAGATCATATAGTTCGGGGGTTCAGAAAATGTGGTCATAGCATATTGTGGAATATATGTCAAGTTTGGTGGTTATAGAAGAATGAATTTTTCTACCGACAGTGCAATAAGAAGATACTCCAGTTTTTACCTAAATACTTAGTAATAACAGATAACATTTAGGGAGTATTTATTTTGTCTCAGGCATCGTGGTAAACTCTTCACATACATACCTCATTTAATCCTGTCAACAACCCTATGAAACAAACTCTTCTGATCCTCAGTGTACAAATGAAACCAACTGAGACTCTGAGATGTTCAGAAACTTACCCAAGGCCACACAGCTGGATAGAGGCGGATTTGAACCCAAGCAGTGCCTCGGTCTCAACCACTGAAAAGCATGTGTGAAGAAAGCACCAAGTGCTGGGCCTGGCACGGAGTAAGTGGGCTGACGAGCGAGTGCAGCCATCAAAAGCTTCTCAATTACTACAATTTTGTTTGATTCCCACAATCTTGCGAGACCCCTCAAAGGAGAATTCCTTCATAGACTCACAGAGTGTCTTCATCTTGTCTGTAATCAGTCTCTCTTAGCAGAAAGCGTCTTCACTTAAACGAGACCCCAAACTACTCCCTCATTCCCCAGCCCCCACTAGAAGAAATGCCTCCTCTGCAGTCAGGAGTTAGCCACCTGCTGTAACTTCCTCTTTTGGTGTAGCCAAAGGAAACTAAGTATGACTGTGCCCTAGCTCTGCAGGAAGAACATGAGTGGCAAAGGAGTGGTGGAGTGATTCCTGAGCCTTTGTGCCAGCTGGAAATTTAAAGCCTTGGTATTCGGGACTTCGACCTTCAAAATGCTTTAGAGATCAACAAGCCAAATGGCCAAATGGCCTAGCCCAGTGGAGATTGTCTCAGCTTTTGACATGCTAGTTGGAGAAAGATAGGGCTGCACAGGGTGTGGGCCCCCCCAGGAGGGTGCATCTTCCCCTCCAGCAGTGCCTGGTTCCCACGGCTGGATTACATGGCAAAGTAGGTGAGCATTTCAGGGGATGAGGGGAACGACGTCTCCAGAAATCCTCTATGAAGACACCCAAGTGTTTAGAAACAGCCCAATATCTGAAAGAGGGAAAACTGCACCCACCTCTTGCAGATATATGGTCCCACTCCTCCTCACAAGACTCACATCAGCAAATATTCAATCAGTGCCCACCATCTGCCACTGTGCCAGCTGCCAAGCCCCCGTGTGAGCCAGGCAGAAATGGTCCATGCTGCGTTTCCACATGAGAAAGGATGTTGAGAGGACCTTTACCTCTCATCTCTTGGTTTGGTACTTAATACAAAATAAAACCAAATGCTCACTTACAATTTCTGAATGGATGACTAGTGAAAAGCTGGACGAGACTAGGGATCTAATGGGAAGAGAGAAGAATGGAACTTACTTTAACTCTTACTGTTTGCTCCGGCTTCAGACAGCATCCCTAAGGCAGATTTGCAAGACCCTCCTGTAGCTACTTGTCAGGTGGTTTGTGGATGAGCCAGAGAGCACCCCCGCACTGACCTTGATGAAGGACGGATCCGCTGGGTGTGCCTTGCAATGGCAGTAATCACAGGGACACGCTGCGCCCTCTCCAGCCTTTGCGCCTTTCCAGCTGGAGGGCACTGAGAGAGAGCAGCAGGGGAGGCCAGAGGACGCTGCCCCAAATAGGAAGGACTGTTGAGCCGAAGGCAATGAAGAAGTAAATGCAAGAAAGCTCTCTGCCCTTTATCTACCTAAAAGTAGGGCATAGCGTTACAAAGATAAAAGGTACCCCACTTCCCCTCTCTACCAGGGGGAGCAAAGGTTAACCACTGAAGACAACTTCAGACCCTTGTGGGCCTGGAGATGGTACCGCAGGAATCCACATGAACAAGATTTCCTAACTCTCCTTCAGCTGCCAGTTATCTGCCTATCCATAAGGTCCCACCCCTAGAGACTCCTTTTCCTTTGTCTTGTCACTTCTCTAAAAATATACTACTCTTTGTTGAATCTGCTATATAAACTGGAATTAAAGCCACCTCTTTAAGAACTACTCTTTCCCTGGGTGTCTCTCTTGTATATGTGAAATACACGTGTT